GTTTGTAGGTTGTTCTTCATACAAGAAAACCAATTCTGTCTCTGCCATCATCTCTGTCAGATGTTGGGATTTGGTCATTGCACTGCAAAGACAGTTTGAGGCTTCCAAAGAAGTTCAGAGCTCACATCTCCCTTCTGTGTTAATAAGAATTATATGTGTAGTTCTGCATTTTGACTTTGGAAATAACAACCCTTGCTTTTTTGGAGTTTGCAATACACTTACCGAAACTTCTTTCCAACCTGGATATTGACGCCTACTTATAAGTCACCCTCTTTCTCTTTTTTCAATTTGTTTACACTATTTTCCCCATTTTTTAATTTATTTGGAACAAGTCCAGACATTGCTATCAGATGCTTTCAGTCTTTTGCCACACAAAATAAATTTGATTTTAAAACTTCAGTTGCTGCCTGCACAGAAAGTAGATTAGTTCTTTGGGGGTTTTAAAAATTGAAGAATGTGGAAATGGCCAAGATATTGTGATTTTTGAAAAGCACCTGCATTTTAAATGAGTTCTTAGTCTCTGTAAAGGTTTCTTAGTAACCTTGTTTGTATACTCCCAAATTAGCTTGCAAACAGGATAGTATATTGTGTTTAAAAAGAAAACATTAAAATCACCACCTATACCAGCTATCTTGTTTCCTGTTCTGATGGGAGAACAATTGTTTTTTTGATGTTGCTTGACATAGCCTTAAAGATTCAACGACTGTTTCTGTTTATCAGTGGATAATCAAGGATATTACAGGAGGTGGCAAGAATGCAAGAGAAACAGGTTCGGGTGCTGAATCAGAGCCCCCTTGTCTGTGGTGCACGGTCAGAGTGCTCAGGATTGCAGAGCAGACAAGTTCTATTGAAGTTTCTTTTATTTTTATGAGTTGCAGTTCAGCTTTTGAGGAGTCTTGGACCATGGATCCTTTCATACATTATTTAGAGCTTTCTGCATAACAGCCTGTGTGTGGCTGCAGACAGTGGGTCATTTCTCTGTTACATTAAAGCCTTTGGCTTTATTGCAGCAATAGAAAGGAAACACAGAGGAGGCAGAAGTTGTGCCATAAGGCTCTTCCATATACAGGGATCTAGGACACACATTTTTCTATTTTAGTTCTAAACAAGAAGACAATAGAATCAGGACTTGGTTTTTTGGTCCCTTTTTTTTTTTATATCACAGTTGAATAGTGTAGGGCACTTACAGACTAAGAGAAGTGGCAGATGTGAGAATTGCTCTTAACATAGTATGTAATATATTAATTGCTTATAGTTCAGTATTTCTTAATCTGTGTAATACCAATGAGTTCTGACTGCTTTCAGTGGAGGTGAAACACCAAGGTTTCTGTCCCTGCTCAACGCTGTAGCAAGCTGGCTACCAATTGCTTCCTAATGCTGAGGATCTGTAACGATTGTAATGGTACTAGCTATGAAGCCGTTAGGTAGTATCTACAATATGTTTCTATCTCCTTTGTGCACATGATGAATTTGAAATTCCTGAAGTTCATATTGGGCTACAGAGAAGGGATGTAAAATTTCAGTAGCCCTTTATCATGACAAACGATGCCTTTTAGAATTTTGGGGCAGATGCATCTCTGAATTAATTAATCAAAATAAATTCATTCAGGTGCACACTACTTCCTTTAATGAAACCATTAGCACAGGGCAGAAGACTGAGGTTTCTAATTGCTGGTAATGTGCCAGTAGCCAAATTTTCTGTCTTCTCTTCAGAAAGGTCTTGGGAAATTTGAAAAGGTTTTTTTAACCTTTGTAATAATGGCTTTATATCAAAGCCACTTAGAATTCAGATACACCAATAATGTCCTATTGGAAAGAGAGAAGCAGAAGTGACGGATTATTACTTACCAATTGGTACATCAGCTCTGCACTATATAGTGCAGAAAGCAGGAATAACAGTCACATTTGCCTGTCAGGTTTTTCAATTTTAAAGGTATAGATCATTTTCTTTTGTCCAGTGAAGAAGGATCATATTATTTGGGATAGGTTTATTCTTAGGCTAGACTGTGCATTTTCTTTTTTCTACACAACCTATTCCATCAGTTCTTTGTCATTATTTTTATAATAAAGATTGCCTTAATGTCAAACAAATCTTCCTTGTTGCAGCTTGAGGCCATTACTTCGGGTTCTGTCCATGAACATGGAAAATAGTTCATTCTTACTCATTTTTGGAAGACTTTTGTGTATACGGAGACAGTAATCATCTTTCCCTATAATCTTCTCTAGGCTAAATAATTCCAATTCTTTCAGTTGTTCCTCATGGATCTTATTTTCTACTCTTTGATTTATTCTCCTTGTTCTTTCTTATTTCATTTCACTTAAGAAAGCTTTTTCGTGCAGTATAGTTCTCAAAATTGGACGTAGCTCTTTAGCTGAGGCCTTGCTAGTGCTGAGTAGGAATACCTCACATCTTACAAGTGATACACCTCTTAATACAACTTCCTGCGGGAGGGTTCTTTGGTTGGTTTGGTTGTGTTTTTAGCCACAGCAGCATGCAGTGGCTGACTTGCATTCAGTTTGTGATCGCTGTAGACCCCAAATGCTTTTCTGAGAGCAGCTTTTCCTGTTGTATATTTTCTGACGTGTATTTATAGGATTAGTTGTTCCTACAGAAGAGAAACAACTTGCATTTAACTTCATTGCATCCCATTTTTTTAAACCCTATCTCCAATACTGGATTTTATACTCTGGTGTAGGCTGAGAGTTTAGCTGCAGCCGTGGCTGGTGGTGCAGCAAACATGATGTAGCATGATACTACCAGTAGTAGTCTCACCACATCACGCAGGGTAATGCCAGAGTGGACTAAGCGGCTGGTTTTTCCCCGGTGCTTTGCAGGGCTGGGGAGTCAGGAGCACAGGATCCTCATGCGGGTCAGAGTGCCTGGTGGTCTTGTCTGCAGGGCTTCCCACTTACCTGCTCTCCTCTCCTCCTTGATATTTGACTTCATCTTGAGGCCACTGATTACTCAACGTTGCAGGCATGAGCAAAGCTGAGCTGGAGGGACTTCTGGTGACTCCCGGGCAGCTTGTTGCAAGTTAAACCTGGATGATGAATTTACGCTGCTGCTTGTGGCACAGAAGTTTCACCTCATGGTATAATAATCAGGTTTCTGTTTTTATTTTCTTGGCAGTGGTGCAGGGCTTGTTTCTTTCTTGTTTTGTGTGTATATGATTCTCTCATTTGTCTTGACCTTCAAAAATTACCGTTAAATACAAATACGGGTAAATCCCCAAGCCACAGAATATGTTTTATATCTGAAACTTGTTTCTATTTATGGGATTTCTTTTCCTCTGAACCTGTCCCTTTAAATTAGATCTCTCTATCAGTGGTACATATCAGTTGCTAAGGAAGAACTGGATCTGAGTAGAATCACTTCAAAGCAGAGCTGAGATAGCCTGAAAAGATGTCATGTCACTTCCACAAACTCTCTTGCCCTGGAGTCCTTAGTTCCAAGTGTTTAACACTCAAGAGTCACAAAAAATAAGACTTTAAGGGATCGAAGCAAAAGATTAATTCCAAAGGACATACAGCATGTGCAGTAGCCATACACAGCAGAAAATATGGTGAACCTGCTTTTTGGTGAACCTGTGTGGGTTATTCAGTGTTTGTTGCTTTGAAAATCTGCAGACAGAAGAGTAGCTGGGTTTGTTACTGAGGTTTCTTTTGACAAATGTTGAGAACTGCTCCTTTGCATCTGTTTCTGGCCTTAACAAAATACCAGTACATGGAAATAAATACTTTTGGAAGAAAATTTTTAAGCTTGGGGACAGAAGTTAAGCTCTAAAAGCCATGTATTTCACTACAGCGCTCTGGTGTTCAAAAGCGCCAGGAACCCGGCAGAATTTGTATGGGAGACGGCTGGGGGTGTTCTCCACCTTTGAAAATCAGGAGTTCCTGAGAATGGCTTTAGACTTTCTGAGAACGTTATTTATAAATCCGGCCGTGATTTACTGTGTTGGGTAGCTTTGTTTTCATATATGCCATAGGGAATTATTTAGGGTTCTTACTTTTCTAGAACAGTCAACATTCCTTTTAACAATTTTTTATAATTTTGATGGAATTTCTTATGAGAGCTGTAGGAGAACCTGAGAAATAACAAGTTGCAAGATGAAAAGAAAATCTGACCTAGATTTCAAACTCACTAAACTTGAATCGAAAACAGTGTCAATAGTATCAGTGCCCCATTTTGCTGCTGTTGACGTCAGTGACTTCAGTCCTCATGATTTTGGTGCTGAGGATTTTGCTGAATATTTTATTCACTTTATAGACTTGGAAGTTGAAAAATGGGAGAAAACTTTGAAGTTCTTCCGGCATGAGCATCCTGGGAATATGGTGATGCTGAAACAGTTCAGGAGTTAGAAGACTTGGCTTAGTTGATAGTGCGTTGAAAGGCTTTTATATGCCATGACCCAAGTTCAGACTTCAGATTTCCTTGTTATTTTCCCTGCAGTTAATAGCATCACTAACTCTTTCTGGATTCCTTACATTGCTTCATTGGCCGTATCAAAGGAAATTAAATAATCTTGAAACAATTCCAGATATAAAGTTCACAGAGCGGCCCCGTCTTTGCAATGGGCTTATGTTCGAAGAGCAGTATTTTTACTTTCAAGGCTCTTGCATCCTGTCCCAAACATTCCCAATCAAATCCCGTTTGAATTGGCAAAAACTCTGAATTCATGTTTTAGAAGGTAAATACTGGGAAAAGCCCCACATTTAAAAAGTAGAAGCTACCTGTGATGTATGCCTGCCTGGACTGATTTTTACTCACTGTTTTAACAGTGGGCAATGCCGCTGGCTGTGCTTATTTAGCAGATAAAATATAATTGGGCTTTTACTATGTTTTACCCAAGTTGCACCTATCTGAAGGTGAGATTAGATCGTTAGCCACTGAGAACTGAGGCATCTTTCTTGAGTATAAGTCCAGCTGAAGAGCTTATGTTTGCCTTTCAGAAATCTCTTTAGCTATTTCTGAACAGCGCTGTGATTTGTTTTGTGTACAGGACACAGAAATTCTGAACACCGCGATTCTCACAGGAAAAACAGTGGCAGTGCCCATCAAAGTGGTCTCCGTTGAGGAGAACAGCGCTGTGACAGACATCTCTGAATCAGTTGAGTGCAAATCCTCTGATGAAGACGTCATTAAAGTAAGTTCATGCCATGCATTGGCCTCTGAAATTTTATGTCTTTTTATATACAGAAGGATAATAGCCTGGGAACTACCACTAAATGAAGTCCTGCAACTTAATTGTACTGCTGTTTCAAAAGCGTAAGGAGAGGAATTTTTAAGAAAAGAGGGAGTTAGGTGCAACAGTTCAGCCACCACATGGTTTCAGTAGAATTTCAGTGTTTATTTTTTATTTGTGTCCTAATTTTAAAATGTCTTGGTAATGTTACTTCAAGTCCTCTGTGCACAGAGTTCATCCACTGCAAAACCAGCTCTGCTGTTCGTACTGCCTCTCCAGATGTTTCTTATCACCTTTTCAGCTGTGATTATTACCTCCCCAGCTGCATCAGTGGAATGGATTGGATGAGTGTTCAATCATCCCAACAACTGCAATGCAAAGTCATCCTGGTCGACTTCACATTCTGCTGAGAGCTGTTTTGAATTAACAACTTGATTCTACACAGAAGTGGCTAGAAAGCATTCACATGACCGGTCCATCAGTTTAGCTCTAGCAGCTTAATGTCGCACAGTAACAAACACCAGTGGGGTAGCCTTGTCTTAAGGCAACACAGCTATTTCTGCAGTGAATATGTAACCAAAGCCCTGAAGGAAATTCACAGTTGTGCCTGGAGTCAGTACAAAGACATGAATCCCATTGCACTTTCCACACAGGACATTCATGGTGCGTGGTCTTTAAGCAAGGATGATTTTACCCTTGGTCTATAAGCTCTTTTGAACGGGGATTTTATTATATTATGTGGGCTTACAGCGTATAGCACAGTGGGCTTTGTGATGGTACTCTTTAGTTGTCTTTAATATGCTACCAGCTCTCTTGGATGTATGGTATACAAATAGTATGCCACAGCTTTATGTATTACAGTCAGTTCAGTTTCTAGGTTCATGGAGAGCAATAAAACTCCTGTGAGCTTGCAGGATCCAACAGTTTGCTGCGCTATTGTAGAATTTATGTAAAAGCATTTATTATACCAGTAACCAAGTAGGTGGGGAAAAACAGTCATACTTTGAACTAATGAAGCCATTATAGAAGACTTTTACAGAAAGCTTTCTGCTTTCAGCAGATCCTTCAGAGCCAAACAAATCTCTCCAGTTTGCTGGAGCTTGAAGTGCTCCCATATATCAGCTGCTTTACAGAGTTTTTAATCTCAAAGAATTCCTGTTAACCTTTTTCCTAAAGTAGCCACCTAACTACCAATCAAAGTAATACCTGGAATTTAGTTTAGGGATCATCCTGATTGTAACCTTACTGGAAACCACATTCCTGAGTAAGAAAAAATACAAGATAGCATTCACAAATTAAAAAAATAAATTCAGAAGAGGACTATTGTGATCATCTAGATTAGCCGTCTTGCTTGAACAGCTTACAAAATTTCACCAAATAATTTCAGCCCCATGGGGATTTCTTCTTTCCAACCGTGAAAATGACTGGTGTTAAGTTCTTCCATTCAATGGAAGACTCAGGTCAGGGATAAAAATATATCCGATGGGCGTGTGTTTTACATCACCAGTTGAGGCATTGAAAATGACAGCACAATGATTTCCCACATACAAATCCCTCTGCAAAAATTACTTTGGGTTTTATAGCTTTGGAGCATATGGATCAAGAAGAAATGAAATTCCCAAATCCTACCAAAAAAAAAAAAAAAGAGAGTGTTCTTGCAGTAATTGCAGTACAGCTGGACTGTTGCAGTTCTCCAACAATTTGTTTGGAAAGTACGTTTTCTTGAAGCGCTATGTCCTTTGATTAGCACTTGGGACCCTGCTGTGCTCTTCTCTTATTTTCTACAGAAATAATTTATCTCCGCTAAAAGGGTTTCTTAAAATGGAGCCTGCTTGCACTCTCAGAACATTTTTAAGTGGCTTCCAGAAGCCTCCCTGTCTAGCCACTCTGAAGGTGAAGTGAAACAAATAACTGGATGCTAACACACAGTGTTTATAGGAATCGACTAGAGAAATTTTTCAGGTGTAATTTCTTTCTCTTCAGAAATGTTTTGAAATTGCTGAGATGAATAGAGAAACTATCTTCTGTGTATTTAGAAATATATGCAGAATCTCTAGAGAAATGCATCTGTGATATGAGTGCTAGCTGCTATGAAACATACAGCTAGTTGAAAAACAGAGTTCGATGAAATACTTTGAACAAGCTTTACGATCTCATCGTGAAGGAAAAAGGGCTTTTTTTTCATTTAGAATGTTCCGGTTTCCGGGAAATTTCTTTACATGGGGAGATGAGGTTTGGGGTTCAAGTCAAATTGACATGTTCATATTGGTTCTGATTTTAAAAAGCATTCAGAAAGCTTCAAATGGAGCACAAAGGCCTTTCATCCTTAGTTCATTTTGAAAGTCCCCATCAAGCTTTTATGTTAAGTTCTTTGGATATATCATCTTCCTCTGTAAAATACTGGTTTAGATACCTTGTTAGAAGGAACCTCCCTGTTTGGGGGGGACGGAAATCCGGTCATCACAAATTATATCCATTGGGAAGAGTTCATGGTACCTTCAGCGCGGAATGTGTGCATGTGTTTACAGTTCATGTTCCCAAGCACCCCTGTCATAGCAGGACCAAAACATATTTACAGGTACGAAAGCCTGTAGATGAATTCAAGCCACAAAATAAGAAAAATAAGGAGTTATTGATGAGAGCAATTTAACACGTAGACATATTATCATTTAGAGGTTCACACAGATATTTTTGTTTAATTTCAGTTGTGTGGAACTTCTGATCACTTTGGGCTCAGGCCAACAGGCAGAATTAGGCTAGAAGCTGAAGGTAATCAGTGCCTATTAGAACTTGGCTTGTAATACTTAGCCATGAAATAAATAAGTGTCCGTTTGTATGGTTCATGTGAAGAAACGTAACGTTTCTACCCAGCAATTTGAATGGCTATCAGATAAAAGCTTATTTGTCTTAAGTTTTACAGTGCCTTCAGTTTGGATGCAATTACATTGTTCTCAGTAACAGAGCCCAATGGAAATCTAAACCTAAGATGTACCTGCAAGTAACAGGTAATAGTTTCCCCAGCGATAAGCATGGTCTGGAGCAGCTCAGCGCGCAGTTTCTGTCCTGTCTTAATCTGCTGCCTGCTACTCCCTTTTTTACTTTTTTATTGTCTCATAGTTTCACCTCTTTACTTCCATATTTGCAGTTGATTTCATGAACTTTAAAACCTTTGAATGCTCTAGACCTTCACACAGTGGTCCAACCTTTTAAAAATGGATAGAAAATCTATCATGGCACTAAAAATCAAGCAACAGCCAAATTTTACTTTGCTAAGCTGGAATTTACCAATAGGATCCATATATCTGGATCCATTAATAGTAATTGCAGTTGCATGCGTAGGCTCCTTTTCACCTCCTGGAAATTCAAGTGGAACGTGGCTGCTTTTCCTGGTGCTTTTGTGCCGTTTGCTCAAGAGCAAATACTGCTCCGTATTCCCGGGTCGCCTGGCTGCTAGAGCAGATGTGGTTTCATGCTGTGAAGAGCAGCGGAGTTTCAGGAGACTTGCAACACCTTGTGACATTTTCAGATTGAAAACTCTTGATAATTACAAACTTGAGGATGTTTTTTCCATTAAAATAACCCAAGCTCAAAAATCTTCAGTGCTACATGTATTTCGGAAGCTACTGTAAACATTCTGGGTTTGTATTTCATCATTCTTGGACTAGCTTTTATCCCATTGCCACATGAGGGGATGCTGAATGCATGGTATTATATTCTTATTGTATTGCTGTTATTTATAATTGGTAAATTAAAAGCTGGATACTAGTCTCAGTGTATTAGCCTCGAACCGTACTCTAAAGACCTTATTTACTAGTTTCTTTTCTTTTTTAAATGGCATTATTAGCTTTGAGATGGATTCAGATCAAAATGTGGATTCAGGTAATATTAGTCCACACATGCAGCTGCTGTGGTCATCACTGGAAAGAAACGCGGATCCTTGCCTTCAAGATGTCCCTCAGTAGTTGTTAATAAACAGTGGGCTCTTGCTGTCCTTGGGGGCGATGAGCAGAGGGAGGCACGAACCGCAGGTGAGGGCCACTGCAAGACTGTTGGGATCTTCTCGTGGAGCTCAAATCCATGACAGAGTGTCACAGCTGCCCCTCTCATCACAGCAACTGGAAACAAAATCCCAGATCAAAGCAACACTGAACTGTTGCGGGCTGAAAATCTAGCGGGGGGGTTTAAGGTTGAACTCTAGCTTAATAGATGGGAAAGGCTGGAACTACTGCTGGTATCAACACTTTCGAAGCAATAGTGTTGGGACTTACAGACACCTGTCAAGGTTACAGATCTTGTTTAAAGGCTCAATCCAGGAACCATCTACACGCATGAGTAACTTTACTGTGAATACTGCTGACGTCAGGGAACATACTCACGTGAAATAGTCTTTGAGGATTCATAAATGTTTCAGAGATTTTGCCATTTGTGGTGGAAACAGTTTATGAAATGAAATTAATTCTTACTAAATAGATGCAAACTCATGTTGAAATGTCTGCTGTTCATTTGTGAATCTCTTCAGATTGAAGGCCAGTCTGGATGCTGTGTAACACATGATGTAGGAGAGTCTCAGCTTGCCAATAAGGAAGCTGACAGATGGACATTTTCATGAGAGATAAATAAATAGCTGTGTACTAATTGTAGTAATTTATTTTTAAAATTGTATGTCTGGAACCATATCACAAGACCCTATTTACTAAGGAAAAGTCATCAGCACTTCATTATTTAGATGACACTTTGCTATTGTCTTAATATACCCAATCATACACAAATAGCTATGCTTCAACCTCTTCAGTTGTCATTTAACTACAAAGAAATTTCGCTGTACTTCCGTACTTTCCAGTATTTGCAAAACTTAAAATGTGTTTTAAAACTAGATTCAGAAGCACCGTTTTCCCTTTGATAGGCAGAGGAACCACTAGTTAGCAGCATCCATAGGTATTTTTATTATAAGTCGAGTTACG